GGACTTAGAAATATGAAAAAAAATGCTTCAAAAAATAATTCTAATTTCATACACAAAAATATTTCATGTATATTTGGAGTTCTATCATTTAAATTGTATTAAAAATATCAATAAACCGGTTATCACAACATATAATATAATATATATACATATATATTTAAAGTAAGCAATAACTTACCAAAATTGTTTCCATCTTTACTCTTCCTCCATTTATTTTTAAGATCATGTCCACTTTCTTGTCCCAAAGTCAGAAAAATGAAGCACAGAGTCACAACAAAAATATAAAAAAATCTTGGATGCATCATTATCGATTGATTCCTATCGAACTAAACTTTTACACCATTTTCGTATTAATATAACAGTGCTATTTGTTATCAGTTACGCAAATGATAACAATGACAATTCATGATCCGATGTTCAGACTATTGAAGTGAAGCAACATCCTTCATGCATGCCAATATCTTTCGTAAAACACTATACAGTATATTGTAGTATGACTATTATTGATAGTTTCGTTAAATTTCGTTCATCAAACCCCTTTCTTTGTTTTTTTATTTATTATATAAATAATTAAACCGAAAAATACATAAAATTGCATAATTTATTATATAAGAAATAATCTCTAAACTTGATTTATAATCGTTAATTTTATCTTTTTAAAAGTTTATCTTATTAAAGATATTTTTTAATTATTGTTGAGAATGCGATATATTTTACAATAAACTTATTGTATATATGTGTATACTTGTATGTATTCTTATATATTTATAGACTATATAGTTTACATTAACGTTATTAACGTTAATGTAAACTATATAGGTTCATAATAATTCATATTAAGTAAATTTAATTTAACCTAGCGGAGAGCCAGGGTCAAGGGCATGGGTCCCTCAGTTTCATCTCTCATCTTATATGTCGTTTGAAGAAATTTGGCGATATTTCGTTGAGTCAGACAATCGGTTATTTTGGAATTATAAATATAAATTAACATTCGCGACATTTAAATAGGCTAATAAACAACTGACAGATTCTAATCCGGATAATATTACTGGAACGGCGAAACAAGAGATTGACATGTCTCATAATATCGATAGATGGCGTCACAATATTGTTTCTGTGTTAATATTTCTTGTGTTTTTCAACAGGAACATTACGAAACTTGTCTGAGATTTTTTTACTTTCCCTGTTGTTATATATAACTGAGGATGATAAGGCAATCGGTCAAAAAATGCTCCCTCATTTTTACATTTTTGGACTCAAGACACCTTAAAACGTCGAGAAATACAAAAAAAAAAAAAAAAAAGATCGGGGAGGGGATAATTTTTGTATGTATGGATGTTTAGGTGTGTGTGGGAGGTGCACGAGTTTGTTCACTCACTTTCTAGCTTAATAACTCCTGTGTTTTTGTAGAAAATTTCTGAAATTTTGCAGGGAGGTTTGTTTATTAGGCAGATTGATGGTTTTAAATTTTGGTGGTTAATGGCTGAAGGAATTGGGAGATAATGAGCGTTGTGTGTATCTCCAATAGTACGGTCCAGATGTAATTACGATTTTATTCATTAATAGCATTTACAATTTTTGTAAAACCCATCCCTACCATCAAAAGTAAGCTTTTTGTTATTTTTTAATTAATAAAAATATAAATTTTTTATAATAAAATATGATAACAGATGGCGACACCAAAATTTTAAATGTAGCCAGGAAAGTCGAGCAACTCGTTGCTGGTTTCTTTAAATTATTGAATAGTTATTCTGATTTATACAATTTATTTTTATTATTATATTTAAATTACTTAATAATAAATATAAATAATTTTTATATCCAAAATGTTGGTATGCAAGCCTGTATTTGTTTGCATCAATTAACCTTTTGAATTATTTGAAGAAAATATTTTCTTAATTTTTTCTTTTACATTTTCTAAATTTTTACTAAAATATTAATTAAAATATTAGAAAATCTTTACACTTAAAGCATTTGAAATCTTAATTTATAAATGTGATTTTGTTAAATTAAACTAAAATTAAATTAACACAGAAAAAACTAATTTAAAACATTTTTATTAAACGAAAACCAACTGAAATTGTTAATTTTAATTACAGATCAAGAATTGTCATTATTTTATATTTAAAAATTAAATGAAATATTAATTTATAGAATATAAATTTATGATATGTATATGCTGATTTCTCTTCTTAGTATACCATGATTGCCTTACACATCGGGTCCAAATTTTTATCAGTGTTAACTTTGCACTGTTCTTTGATAGCTTTCTGAAATATGATTGAGGAATACAAATTAATTAATGAAAATAAAGAATTTCAATGCGCAATTATTAAAGATTAAGAGAAATAAAATGTATACTTACACCATACGACTGCAGAAAAGAATCATCGCATTCCTCAGCAGTTTGTGGTCGAGGCTAATAAAATAATAGTATAATATAAATTGTTTTGTTTACTTAAACATTTAAATTTCACATAAATAATTTAATTTTAAAATCTTACATCTATTCTATCCATCATATCTTTTTCAAATTGTAAGTAATCAGGGAAGGTCTACAAGAAGAAAAATTTATTTAAAAAAATTAGTATCAATATCGAAAAAATATGCATTGAAAAAAATGCCATGCTTACTCTTGCAAAATAATGTAAAATGTGATATCTGCATCTACGTCCTGTTTTATACATACAATATTGAACATCCTATAAATTAGAAAAAAGTTAAAAAGTAAACATGATAAAAATAAATAAAAATTACTTTTATTATTTTACTATTATATGAAGAAATAAATATTTAGTAATAAAAGTACTTTTCTAATGAATTCGAACTTATATTATTTAAATTTATACTATTTAATGTAAATATTCTTAAATTCTCTAATAAAATTATATTACCTTTCATTGTTTTGGAGTTATTTCATGTATTTTTTATTGAAGATAAATAACACAAGATGGAGAAATATTAACTAGAGACTGATATGAACGAAACCCGTAGAAGTGAAGAGGTAATTGTGATATTTGAATGCTGATGTATATGAATATGAACAATTAGTCAAAAATACACGAAGTTCTTTCCAATAAATGTACAAATTGGTGCCACCATTTGTAATAAATAGTGAGATGTAGAACAGTCTATGTAATGGATGCAATTGGTTTATGATAATTATATTCACTGAAGAGGAGCCAACAATTCGAGAAGTTGCCTGGATATTTATATGAATTGTTTGGAATATTGTATATTTAAAAAAGGCTTGAATAATCGATTTAGTCACAAAATCAGTTTACTGAATTATGTTAAGGCAAACATTTAAACACTGTTTTGTCGTGTTGTTAGTGTACTGCATTGTACGTGTCTGTGTTAAAACGTTCCTGACTATGTGACGTAGTACAAAATATTTAATACTGATGCTTTCTGTAGTATAATGATCGTAGACTTTTATGCTAGGGTATAATGGTACAACACCTGTGATATTATCATTATTTATAAATTTATTATTATTATTTATTTTGCTGGTTTTAATATTTTGAATCTGTTTTGCTCAAAATTATATTTAATATTTAAAATATAAAATAAGTATGGAATTCAAAATACAATATCATTTGTAATATCTAAATTTATATAAAACTTACTCTGGAAGTCTGCCAACTCACGCAGAAGTGGAATGTCTAAAAATATTAAGTTAAGATTATGAAATATTTATTCTTCAATTTATTATACAGTAATTACTTTATTATAAAACATTACATTAAATATTTTTAATATTGAATTTTAGAGAATTATTTTGGTACCGTGTATTTATATAAATTACTTCAAGAAGAAAGTTTGCTATGAAATTAAGCATTTTCTTATGTTCTACTATTGAAAATACTCTACTTAAACGTTTCATAATTGCAGTACAAAACTACAGTAACATAAATATATATTAATTAAGCATTAACTACAAACAATTATATTTTATAGACAATAATTTTGAGATTTTATAAAGGTCAAATTAAATGACAAAAACTTACCACAAACCAAATATCGTTGCTATCATTTAATGTTTTTGCGCAACATTTCTCATCAGCTTTCATAAACTAAAAGTAATACATAAAGAAACAAATATATTTTAAAAAATCCTTTTAAATTATTTAAGTTGAGAATTAATATATTATTCATTATGTTATATCTCTGTTTAATATTATAATAATTTTTAGACATTTTTATATAAAAATAATTTTAATAAATAATATTTAAACTAATGAAAATATTAACCATAGAATTTTAATTGTTATTTAGAATAAGAAACGGAAAAAATTTATAAAAAAAATTCACTCACTCTTTCTATAGTGCGGTTTGAACTGGTCAAACAATGAAAAAAGTTTTCAATACATTTCATTTCGTTATCTGTAATTTTGAAAATTACCTTTAAATAAATTGACAGTCAATTTTACAACGATATATAAAAATATATATGAGAAATTATTTTATAAAAGTTAAATTATACACAATTACTACATATTTATGAGTTTATAGTTTAATTCTTATGCATTGCTGTCGAGCGCTTATATGAGATCATGAGTAGAAAGGGCTCTTCTTTACCATGTTTTTGAGCACATAAAATATGTAGAATATTTTTTCATAATAAGATGGACTCTTAAAGATCTTATTTATTTGTTTATTTAATTGTGTTGTTAGTATAAATAACATTAATAAAATATACAGGGTAGCAACCATTACGAACTCCAAAAATTTCAGCTCCCCTCTCTCGATGGCTCTGTTCCAGTGTAATTAAATTACAATATTACAGTACTTGAATATTAATGTATAACACAAATATAAATTTTGAAGCTANAATGCTTAAAAAGTAATACTAATTTCATATACAGAAATATTCTATTTATATTTTTAGTTCTATCATTTCAGTTGTATTAAAAATATCAACAAACCGGTTTATCAAGATATATAATATCAAATATATACACTGTATATATATATATTTAGAGTAAGCAATAACTTACCAAAATTTATTTTCTTTTTAAGATCCTTTATATTAAACTTATCATCTCCCTCTGACTTTGCGACGTCTTGTCCCAAAGTCAGAAAAATGCAGCATAAAGCCACAACAAAAATGAAAAGAAATCTTGGATTCATCATTACAGATTGATTCCTATCGAACTAAACTTTTACACCATTTTCTTATTAATATAGCGGTGCCATTTGTTACGCAACCGATAGCAATGATGATTCATGATCCGATGTTCAGTGTATTCAAGTGAAGCAATATCCTTCATGCATGCCGATATCTTTTGTGAAACGCTATTTATTATCGTATGACTATTACTGGTTGTTTTCTCAAAGTTAATTCATCCTCACATGACTAGAAAAACCCCTTTCTTTGTTTATCTTATTTATTATATGAATATTAAATCGAAAAATATATAAAATTGCATAATTTATTATCTGTGAATCAATCTGTAAGGTTGATTTATAGTCGGAAATTTTATCGTTGTAAAGTTTATTATATTTGTTGTGAAAGATATATATAATATATAAACATTTTATAATAAACTGATTATATATCTGTTTATTTGAGTGTATTTTTATGTATTTATATATAATTTATATCAACTATCGTTAATAATTAAGTAAATTTAATTCATCTTGCATAATAATTACTAATGCTTTCACGTTTATAAACGAAACTGGACAAACTCGATAGCTTTATATTAATATTAATTGAATACGTCCAGAAATGCAAAAAAGTTCGGGGTTCTTTTGTATTTATGGATGTTAGAGATTTTGTAGGAAGGTTTTTTTTTATTATGGGATTGATACTATTAAATTTTGATGGTTTAAGGTGGAGCGGGAGGGAAGATAAAGGAAGTCGTGTGTCATATTTCTATATACTAACGTCCGATACAAACAGGAAATCACGTTATTTCAATTCAAAAATTTTCCCTGAAAGGTGTTAGATAGATGACTGGCACGACTCTGTTGTAAAAAGAAAAGTTTGATGAATAGGAGCAAGCCACTACTAATTTAAGGTGGAGACATTGTCCATCTTAATTTGAGCCCGGCATTCTGATGATGTCATAATAAATAATTGTACGTTCAATTTAAAGTTCTTTAAACAATACGTTAAGCTTAGAAAAGTTGAATTTCCCTATTCTGTTGACTACGTAAACCGGAATTAATATCACTTTAGGTTATTCCAATCTTGGCCACTTAATTGAGGTGGATCAAGAAGTTTGATTTATAATAAAATTTATACAGTTTTACAGGGTGAATTTCAGAGGTGGTCATGTAAGCGAGGTTTTCTATAATTATAAATAAATAAATAAAGTTAATTTTTTTAAATCAAATAATTTTTATCTATTAAAATGACAGGTAAAGAGTAGAATTATTTTTAATTAATTAAAAGAAATGTTTTAAAATTATATGAATATTTCAAAATTTTTTACGTCACGAATGTGGAAAATTCCTTATATAAAGAGGAACGGCTGTGTTTAAATAATACACCTTTGCTTTTGCTAACGCAACTGAACTATGCATTTGTAAATATAATTTTAATTGATTTTTTATTATAATTTAATTGACTTTAAAAATATTTTCATAATATAAAAAATCAGGAAAATTGGGGTTTAAATTTAAATAATGTTTATTATTACAAGCAAGCATCAATAAGTATAAATAATTTAATCTTGCATACAGTTTTAAAAAAGCTTTATATTTCAAGATTGCGTACAGGATTTAATGATGAACCTTGATATTCACTCATTTTGTTTTATCTACCTATAGTGGAAGTATGCACCTTAACTTATAAAAGAATATTTGCATACACATAGTTACTTTTTGGCATTATATTCCTGTAGTCTTAAATAAGAGAAAATAAAAAGGAAAGAAATAAAACTAAAATATTTCGTGATTATTATTTGAATAAGTAAATAAATAAAAATGAAAAGCTTTTTGTCATTTTATAATAATTAAAAATATAAAATTTTTAAACAAAATATTATAGAAGACAGTGCCATACACTCAGTTTTAAATGTTCGGAAAAAGTTTTTTTTTTTTTTGCATCATTAAATTATAATGGTAAATGTCACACAGTTACATTCATTTTTTTTCGTAAACTCCATTTTGCATATGAAAAAAATTATTATAATTAGACTTAATCGAAATTAATCTAAAATTATTCCAATCAAAAATGAGGGTATTTAAATGAAAGAATTGAATACTATTTAATTCTAAACTGTTTCCAGAACATGTAGTAGGCTTTTGAATACTTTTCGAACGAATCCTTTTTGACTCACACAACACCGAATAAATCAATTCGAGTCCTAAAACTAGCATCTTGATCTGATGTCGGAAATTCTAATAAATTCAAGGAAGCGTGCCTTACGACGACAATAACAAGAATATCAATTGATAGTATCTATCACGTGTTTGAATTAGTCATACAATTCTCGTTGCATCCTCTTCAAACGTCATCCCTTTTTTTAGCTTTCTTTCTCTTCATAAATAAATCTCATATTGTCAATAAATTATAAAACTTTAGTAGAATAATTTACGAATATATAAAGTTTTTTAGTGTATAAATACTTTAAAAAATAGCGTGTTTGCAATACATTATTGAATATTGTATTGAAATAAAATTGGCTTATAAGTATTCTTCTATAAAATCACATTACATTCTTCTAAGTTAATATAATATATTAATATATTGCGAATTAATTATTAATATATTTTAAAAAAACGTTATATGTTAGTTATGAATTATGAGAGTATTAAAATATTATTTTCATAATCCATTTTTTACTCATAATCTATTAATTTTATGTCAAATATCTTGTTTATTTATCGAGAATTTTCCTACTAAAAGCAATTAAAAGTTAAAATTTGTGTGTACTGCTTGTTTACTGTTTGTTATAAACATTTAATATATTTCCTGTAGGAAGTTTACTCGTTATTATTGTATACAGTATATGTACAGTACATGAATATGCAGAAAGAAAAAGAAAATTTTGATAAATAATTATTAAATAACTTCTATTTAAATAATAGTTAAGATGACTCAGGAACGAATTTTTTAATAATATTTTAATTAAAATTTTCTGTCTTAATCCTTTCGGATAATCTCAAGATTTTAAAGATTATTAATAAATTATAACTAAACTTAATTATAAAATGATTTGATTTCATTCAAATTTTCTTTAAGGAAATTAAAAATATTTAATAATATAATAAACAAATGATATTAGACTTTATCATTTGTATATTTCAACTAATACGAAGATAATTTATGTTTTAGTAACATTTTATAAACAGATAACTTCTTGGAAATCTTATTTTATAAATTAACATTAGTTTTGATGTTAATTTATAAAATAATTCCCTTCATTTAATTAAATTTTTTGTATATAAAAATAATTAAAATTAGTTTCCCTGTATAGTTTACTATTATAAATTCATGACTAAAGAAATTAGCAGAGTAATTTACATTAAGAAAATTTTAAAAACTTTAAAATTTAAGATTAAATTTTAAAAGTTTTTAATGCATTTATTCGAATTTCATTAATATTATTTTATTGTTTCATAACTAATTTTTAAAATATTATTTAATATTTATATATGAGATGTTGTAAATATTAAACAAAAGTGTATAAAAATATTCTTAGAATAGTTTTTTGTTAACCTTTGCTATCTTTAGTTATAAAAAAAAAACACGCTAATTTATGTTAAACGCTTACAAAAAGTTCTGTAACATTTTATGATTCATTTTTATCAATAATTATTTCATTAGGTTTGTGTAATATTTAAATAAGAATGATAATACATAATTATATATTCTCATTTATTGCTTTTAGAATTTAATATAGTTTTATACTTATTACTTCTAAATCAAATTATTTATAACATTTGAAATGGTTAGATTTTTTAAAAATCAAACATTTAAAAAATGCGTGTTATTTCACTGTGTAGAAAAGAAATATGCATCTTAAATTGTCGAGGACTGTCCGAGATTCGGTGTGTGAATAATCAAATCATTAATTCGCCCCAAGTGTACTTTGTTTCTTTTTGTATTTGACCAAACAAGTGGTTTGGTCCTCACCGGTCGGGTGCATCTATATATTTATTGTAAATACGTTATAATGTTCTCTATTTATATTTGTTCAAACTGTATTAGTCATTGTTTGTTGTCACCTGTGTTACGTGCATCTTGTATATAATTTGTACCTATGTTTTCTGTTTTGTATTTAATAAACTACCGATGCAGGCGCCCTATGATCTTATCATCACCCTGCCCTCCTTTTCATCACTTGCCTTCTTCTCTCTTCCTCTTCTTTCACTATCTTTTCAACCTCCAGGTCGTACCTTTGAGTGAAGCCAGGAGGCAGCTCCTTCTTTTAACTAGTAGCCATGCTGAAAGATAGCATGAGTCGATTCTCGCCCGAAAATACCTAAAGAGTCTGAACCCATACGATAAACAATTCTTATCAAATTAGTTAATACTAACGAACTCTGCGTACAGCTCATACATGAGTTTTGCGACACAAATTCGCCTGTGTGACGAATGAACGCAAGTAACGTCCGTTGATACGCTGATTCGCTTTTGAGAAATATCTTACGTTTAACAACACAAGATGGTAGCACTTTACTGTATGTATACAAGGCTAGAATTTCTCCAATTATATATTGATATATATAGCCTAATCTCTTTAGTTTTTACATTAGTAAAGTTTATCTTATTTATAAAGTAAACATTTGAAATCAAAATTGATCTTATTAACTTTGATCAAAGATCTAGTCTTAATTTAAAGGAACGTTTCATTTGAATGTTTCGGCTCAGTTAGGTTGTTCACTAACTGAAGAGGGTTATTTACACCAGGAGCCGAAATATTAATATATTTCAGGGATATACAAGGCATTAATATTTTTTCGTGTATAATAACCTTTAATTGTAATAATATTCTACGTATATGTAATAAAGTGTATTTATATTAAATATCTTTAGAAAAAGAGGATTAAAGGCTTAGTGTTAATAGATACTTAAAAATTATGAATACATTTCAAAAGACATTTTAAAATTATTTATAAATAATCTAATATAAAACGAGCAATTATTTATTGTGACATCGTCACAGGCCGGACTACAATTTTTGATCATATTTTTAATTTATTTAATTTAAAATATATGCTATCCACCTCAAATTAGTAGTGCCTTGCCCCTGTACATTATACTTTTCCTTTAACATCAGAGTCGTGCCGGTCATCTATTAATTGCTTTCGGGGAGGAAATTTTTGAATTGAAATAACGTGAC